AGCCCAACTGAGCAAAGTCCCACTGGTGGTTAATGAGGTGGTCTTTGATGACCCTAGCGACCCCTGTGTCAGAAGAACAAGGATGGAAGCTGGGAGACAAGGCTGAACAGCGAGGGAGTCATGTAGAAATGGGAGGCAGCATGTGTGTTAATTAAGAAATCTGGCAGTAGAGAGAAAGAAACAGAATGGTAGCTGACAAGGGCAGGAGGATCAAGTAAAGGATTTGCCCCCCAAGATGGGAAAGGCCTGTGTATATTTCATAGGCAGAAAGGAAAAAGGTAGCGGAGAGATGAACGGTTTGGCACGAGGGTCGGGGTAATTATAGAGACAAGGTTCTAGAGGAGACAGGAAGGGAATGGGACTGAAAGCAAACACAGAGTTTGGCCTTTGAACAAAGGGAATAGACAGACCTCTCCAACTGAGCCTATGTTCTTGTCATTTCCTCTAAATCATAAGCATGCCTTACGTTTATTTGTACAGTGTGCGGCCAATGTCCAAGTGTACTCACGGCTGCTCTCAAGTTAGATTCTTCTTCATCATCGTCATATATAGCTACCATTTGTTGACCATGTGCCCAGCAATTTAAATGTGTTATCTCATAAGATGGGTACAATTATCATTCCCATCTTACGGATAAAGAAACCAAGGTGAAAGATATTATAAGTAACTCGTCCAGGGTAGCCCAGCTGGTAAGTGGGAGAGCGGTGTTGGATGCCAGATAATCCACTTCCAGAACCTCTGCTCTTCTGTGCTGCTTCCCAACACTTCACAGAGTTGCAAATAGTTGCCTCTAGCGAGCAGGACTAGAGGGGAGAGAGCATGTGGCAGGGGTCTGCTGGTTTTTGATAGAAGCCTTTAGTACTATTTGACTTTTTACTAGAGTAGGAGCTCTTTCAGTGACCGTTATTTATCTGCGGTGTCAAATCCGCTGAGCTCGGCACGCTCTCTGCTCCCTAGCAGCAGGCTCTGCCTGAATACACTTCACACTTAAGTATAAATCGTTTGACCACCTGACCAACCCTATGCCCAGATCCCTACCAGGGAGCAGATTTTCTATGACATGTTATTTTAAAAAGAAATTAAACAAAACATTTGGATAAAGGCATCTGCATTCTTTTATAATGAAAATTCCCACTAATAAAAAGCACAAAGAGCTGGTAGCAGTTCTGAGGTGATGAAGCAGGCTTCTCAGTGCTGAAAGTGAAGTCACTGGTTTAGAATGGACAGAACGAAAATGGGGTCTTGATCCACTGCAATCCATCCCCCATACAGTAGCCAGTGACCTTTCTTGGATCCCCCTGGCCCAGTCACTCCCCTGCTGAAACCCTTCCTAGGTGTCCCCAAGGCTACAGCCACACTGATCTTAGACTGTGCTTTCTTTGCCTCCCGGGAACTTTGCACAAGCTGTGTCCTCTGCCCAAACCGTGCTTTCCCTTCCTCTTCTTCACCTGGCTAGTTCCCAGTTCTCCCATTCAGGTTTGTCAGTTTACATGTTGCTGCTTCCAGGAAGTCTTCCTGACTTCCATGCCTAGGTTATGGGCCTCCCCTGGGTGTTCCCACAGCACCCTGTACTTTCTCCACATAGAACTTGCTGTCCTCGAAATGACACTTCCCAGCATGCATGACCTCGAGTCTTCCCCTCCCACACTGACTGTGGGCTGGCCCTGCGAGTTGCTCTAACCAAGAGAGTGCAGGAGAAGTGATGCTGTGCTTGTTCCAGGTCTAAGACTTAAGCAGCCTGGCGGCTTCCACTTTGTACTTTTGGAAGCTCTGAGTCACCGTGTAAGAAGTCCAGCTACCCAGCTGGGAGGCCATGTGGAGCAAAGAGGCCCTGGGAGTACATGGAGAAGGAAAGAGGCCAAGCCTTTCCAGTGCCCTACTTGAGTCATCATATGACACCAGGCGCCATCTGACTGCAACCTCATGAAAGACCCCAAGTGAGCCCAGCAGAATTGCCCAGCTGAGCCCAATTTGCAGAACTATGAGAGACAATAAAATTGTTTTAAGCTACTAAATTTTGGAATGTTTGTTATGCTACAATAAATAACTAAAGCACCACTCTATTTTAATTGCCTACCGACTTTGGTTGCCCTGCTAGACTATTTTCTCTATGAGGACAGGGAGCACATCCATTTTTTAATATTTGTTATATATCCAGGACATTCTCCAGCACTGAATAAAGCTCTGGGGTATCTGATTAATGCAAATTAAGAATGTCAACAAAAACAAAGGCAACAACAAATGTACTCACTGTGGTGAGTATATTTCACCACATGTGTACACATCACAAGAGGTGATTAACTGGACAACTGAGCAATAGGTTCCCAGTGTGAGATAGCTAGCTTACCTTTGTAGGGGGATTGAGTTAATCTGAGGGGCTTTGTAGAGGGAATGGGCCACAATCCAACAACACAGTTTGGGAGCAGAAAAGAATGGCTGATGGTTTGGAGACTGCCATTCCTGACAGTGCTCTTGTGGCAGCACTGAACAGGTGATCTGGTGTGGCCTCCTGCTGCCCTCGCCATCTACCCTCACACAAGTGGTCTGTTGCTGTTCTCAGGTTGCTGAGGGCAACAGATGCCATAATGCCATTTTATATTAAAATAAATGGGGACAGATGCCTTATCCTTTCCTTCGAAACTTTTCAACTAGCTTCAAGCAGGGAGGGCTCTCAGTGAATGTTTGTATGTGGAATGAATACATTTCCACTGAAACCAGTAAATCCCATGATTGGGCTCCGGTGCTCCTGGCTGTAATCATCATGGGCACACGGTGTTCAGTCAAGTCAACAGGCGTTATATTCTGTGGGCTGACAGTTTATGTCCAGCCCTATGTGGGACACAAAATGGGAAAATGCCTTGCCTGCCCTGAGGGAGAGAACTGGGGAGACTAGACTTACGCAGATGAGATAATTAAGTAACAGGACAACATATAATTACTGCTAATCTGTGCAGTAAGAAATTAAGTGCAACAGGAATTGGGAAAAGTAGGGAGCAGTGAGGGCTCAAACAATTAAAAGGCCTTCACTGAAGAGCTGGGATTGGGCTGAGCCTAGAAGCATGAAACAAACTATAGACAGTCTGAAAGGAAGTCCCAGGAGGAAAACAGAGCCCAATCAGCGTGCTTGTTTTTTTACTTTGAGATAGCCACACACAAAGAATGTGAAAGGTGGCTGTCTCAAGTTCCAAAGCAAGGATATTCCTGAATAGTTTCTCAATATTCAAACTTCTGGGCCTTTATTTATTGTTTCCTCTGCTTACAATGCCATTCTCCCTTCTCCACCTGGCAAACTCTTACTCATTATTTAAAGGCCCAGCTCAAATGCAACTACTTTTCCGAGTTCTTCCATGGTATCCTACAACCCACTGCTCATGCTTCTATTGGAATATTATCTCTCACTACTTACTGCCTACTTACCTCCTCTACTACTACAATTAAGAGTGACTTACATTTACATTATGTCACAGCAGCTTATGCTAAACATTTTTGTTTGTTTGTTTGAAGACAGGGTCTTGCTCTGTTGTACAGTGGCGTCATCATAGCGCACTACCTCAAACTTCTGGGCTAAAGTGATCCTCCTGCCTTAGTCTCCCCAGTAGCTGGGACTACAGCAATGTGCCATCACACCCAGCTAATTTTTAAATTTTTTGTAGAGACCAGGTCTGATTATGTTGCTCAGGCTGCTAAACATTTTTAACGTGTTATTTTATTTAAACTTCACAATTGCATGAGGTATTCTATTTTACAGATGAAGAACCTGAGGCTCAATGTGGTTAAGGAATCTGTGCAAGATAACAAAGCCAGGAAGTAAGAAGGCTGGGATTCAAACCCAGATTTGTGGGACTTCAAAGCCCATTCGTTTTTTTTTAAAGATAGGGTTTCACTAGGTTGCCCAGGCTGGTCTCCAAATCCTGGCCTCAAGCAATCCTCCCACCTCAGCCTCCCAAAGTGCTCGGATTATAGGTTTGAGCCACTAGTGCCCTGCCCCAAACTCACTCTTAATCCACTGGACCATGTGTTCCTGGATGCCACTAATGCTCTTTATTCGTCTGTCTTTTCAGATCCTAGGATGGTGGCTGACATATATCTCGCAATTGTTTAACAAATTAATACTACTTTCATACCACGTGCCTCAGTCTAAAAGCAGGTACTCCCAGTACTCTTTAACCTCAGGCAGAGACTTCCACCCACCACCTAAAAGTCACATACCTGGGGGAAAGGGAGAGGGAGAAAGTCTAAACACCTTTCATTCCAATTTGAACTCCTTTATTTCATGGATTCAAGTGTGGTTAATGAGGATCTATTCTTTTCCACAAAAGACCACAAACACATTGGCTAGGTCTGAAGATGAGTACTCTGATTAACAGGGTGCGTGTTCGTGGGTGTGGGTGCTGTTTCCTCTCTGGTATTTTGAAAGGAGCAACTCAAGAACACAGCCTGTCAGGCCACGAAGGACCAGGCATTCCATTTGACCCTATCGTGGCGCAGACTGAGGGCCAGAAAAGGTATGGGGGGGTCGGTCTAAGCCTATACAGTAAGACAAAGCTGGGCCAGAGTTAAAACCCCAGAATGAAAACCCTGCCCTGCGCAGCTTCTCATCGCCTATGCATTAGGGCCGGGCAGGGCATCTAAGCAGATGGCCTTGGACGAAATGGTCGGACTACTGGCTACTTTAGCTGGACCCTAAGGGTCCTCTCCTCCACCCACGGAGCCTGGGGAAGCCTTTCCCTCCTCCTCGGCACCACGGTGCCTGCAAGGTCCTCTTGCTCCACCGAAGCGGCTCTGGCCCCGCTTCTTAGTGGTCCTGCTTCTAAGCGGTTCCACTTCGCCACCAGCCACCCCAGCTTCTGCGTGGGCGCGGAAAAGGACACCTCTCCCACGGACAGCTGGGCCCATATCCCCATGCCCTTGTCGCAGTTCACCTCCCCACCAGCCCGAAACACGCCCACACCGCCCACTTCCTCTCGCTGAGCTGTCTTTCCGGTCAGGCTCCTTTCTAATTGGCTGGCTGACGGCATCCGTCGGGACTCGGCTGCTCGGAGCTCCGCAGCGGCCACTCTAGCGCTGTCCCGTGGCTTGGCCTCGCTCTTGCGCCTGCAAGCTCTCTCTCTCGCTAGCAACATGTGGCGCCTCCCGGGACTGCTGGGCCGAGGTAAGGGGCCTCGGAGCGGCGATCGTCCTGGGGCCGCTGAACGGAAGTGGAGGTGGGAGCGGGCGGGAAGAAACAGCCAAAGCAAAAGTGAGCGGGGTTAGAGTTGAGGGGCGGGGCCAAGACGTCAGGGACTGGCGGAATTTTAACTGTGGTTGGGGCTGGTGAGTAGAGGGTGGAGCTTAGACTCAAGAATATGGGTGGAGCTGTTGGAAGGAGGAGGAGTCAAATGGCAGGAGATAGTGGGCGGAGCGAATGAAAGGACTAGAAGCGAATGGAGTAGGCCGAGCCAGTGTAGAGAGGAGTTGTTTAGAGACAAAGCGCCCCAAACGTTGGGCGAGAGTGTGTGTATGAGTCTCTGGTCGTCTTAGAACAATGGTTGGCAGCTATAGGAGAGGATCAGAATCACATGGGAGCTTTTTTAAAATGTAGCTGCTCTACCCTGAGAAATTCTGGTGGGGCTCCGTCATAAGTCAGAGAGAAGATCGCTGGGGCAGCCTTTGCCTCAGTCGTGTTCCTGGTGAGGTAACTAATCCTTGTTGCTCTGCACAGCTCTTCCCCGTCTGCTGGGACCCAGCCTCCGGGGGGTGACCACCAAGTCCACCAGTCCGGATGGGCCTCAGGCTACCTCCTCCACCCTGCTGGTCCCTGTTCCCAACCTTGACAGGTGAGACACTGCCATTCTGTCATCCATCTTTTCCCTTGGCCTCCCTCTTCCTTCATTTTGGACAGAACTTGACAGCTCTTATTGCATCATCTAGGTCCGGCCCCCAGGGCCCAGGCAGGAGCAGTGGTCCAAGGTCCCATGGATGGAAAGATGCCTTCCAATGGAAGTCTGCCCATGTCTCCCCAAACACCCTGTGGGATGCCGTATCATGGGTAAGGCTTCCCCAGCCCTGTCCTTGACCTTCAGTGTGGATGAGAATGATGCTGCATGGAAGTATAGCCTAACCTAGAAACAAGAGCTAGGGCATCGTTGTGTCCACACAATGAGTAACCCATAGCGTTAGAGCAGATTCGGGGAGATATTGCTGCTCTCCCTCCCACTCCTCCCCCAACCATGTATTTATTCCTCATTTCATTTGGTAAACATTTACTGAACACCTTCCTTAGCCACACATTTTTGCTAGGCCTTAGGAACATAGCAGAGAACAAGGTAGATATATTCTTGCCTTCATGAAGCTTATAATAAATAATAATAAATAGCACTATTTATTAATATAAAGTATTATACATCCATTATCTTGTTTGATCCTTACAAAAATCTTGCTAGGGAAATATAATCTTCATTATATTGATGAGGAAACTCAGGCTCTAAAACGTTAGGTTACATGCTTAAGGTCACACAGCTATTAAGTGGGGGAGCCGGATTTAACTCTAGAGTTCATGCTTTACCGCTTCACTGCTGCACCTAGTATGGCTTATAAAAGCACCTAGTACAGAGCGTAGCCCATAATAGTTGCTCAATAAATATTCATTGAATCTGATCTATGAGGTCAGATGCTTAGTGGTCAACACTAGATCTGATCGGGCAGAATGTTTGCCTTTCAGGCAAAGGTCTTGGTAAAAGTTCTGCTTATGAGGTATCCTGAAAGAAGTTGGCACGCATATCACTCTCATGTCTGTCACATCTCATCCCTGCTGCTTTCATGCTGTGTACTTTGGGCAAGTGACTTGACCTCTCTGGGACTCAGTTTTCTCATCTGTAAATTGGTGTCACTAGCAGAGCTAAGCCTGGGATGTCTGCATGACAGGGACACTTCTCTTTGGGAGATGTGCACTAGAGGCATAACACGCTGGAGAGGGATGTGTTTTCCCATTTTGCCAAAGAAGATCCGTGCCCTAGGGCAGTCCCACAGTGAGTCCTTTTTGCAGCTGGACCTGGATTCCAGAGGTCCTGATGCTATCCCTGGGCTCTGTCACTGCTGCTTGTTAGAAAGGGTCTGCACACAAGCTGTCCCAATGCCATGGATACTTTTTGTTCCTTATAGTGCTGGTGTGTTCTCTTCTGGCCTTAGCTTACACATCACCCCACAGACAGGCTTTCCCTGACTGCTCGTCCTGTCGGTCCTCCCTCTCATGCTCTTCGTAACCCCCTGATTTGTCTCTTCTTGGCAGTTACCATAACTGATAGTTATTGTATTTATTTCTCTGTGTACTTGGATTTTGTCTTTCTCTCTCAAGGCAAGATATAAACTTCCTGAGGGCAGATACTATGTCTGTCTTATTTGCCACTGTATACAGTGCCCGTTGCAACAAATAAGTACCTGGGTGTCTCTTCCTGAGCACAACACAGGTGGAGACAGGGAAAGCCAAGCAGTCACTGGGATAAGAGCTAGCTCGGGTCTTCTGCAGACCTGACGGAGAAGAAACGCCCTCACCAAGCTCACACCTGCAGATGTGTGTGTGTGGTGGGGTGGGGTGGCGTGGTCGGGGGAAGGGGAAGGGCTGTGCCAGACTAGAGTGTGAGCCTGCTGGGGAACTCCCACTTGTCGCTGCATTTGCTGCGAGTCCCAACCTACCACGTTACCTTTTTGCCTGCTTAGACTTTGTTCAGCCAGTCACTCGTGCATTTATTCAGCATGTGTTTATTGGGTCCCTACTATATCTTAGCACTGTACTGGGAACCAGGGATACATTGGTGACCAAAACATACATGGTTCCTGCCTGTGTCATGCTTAGAGACCAACAGGAAAGACAAACCTTAGATGAATAATTGCAGAGGTGATGATTTAAGTGGCAGTGGCATCAGGGCTCCAAAAGAGAAGTTTGGGTGCTGGGAGAGTACCTAGTGAGGGAGCTGCCCCAGCCCGGCTTCCCAAGGATGGTTGAGCTGAAGGCCAGGTCAGAAGGAGTTGGCTGGTGGAGGACTGTGTCCCTAATGCGCTGTCTTTCGCAGGGCACTCTGGCTGTGCTGGCCCTGCAGCTGGCAAGGCAGATCCACTTCCAGGCATCCCTGCCAGCAGGACCTCAGCGAGTGGAACACTGCTCTTGGCACAGTCCCCTGGACCGTTTCCTGTCATTTCCCTTGTGGCACCCGCGCTCCTGTGAGTTCTCAGTCCTGGGTACAGAAGGGCTGGGCTGGGAGTTTCTCTGGGCCAGGAAGCATCTCTGGACACACCTCAGGAAAAGAACCATCAGCAGCTCCTTGCCTTTCCTATCTGAAGTCAGAGGAAGGGGAATGGGGGCAAGTTCTGTCCACCCAGGGTGTGAGCCACACCTGCTCCTCAGTGTCCTTCCACATCCCCCCATCACCGCCCATGGAGGGAGCCCCACAAGTCCAGACTACTCTAGATCCTGGGTGTGGCTTCCTGTCCAGCTGTCAGCCAGTTAGGTCATTCTGTGGTCAGTCATTCATCAATAAATGAATCTTTACTGAGTAGCTATTATATGCCATGATACAGAGGTAATACAGCCTAGGATCTGGAGGATCTGGAGTCCTGTGGTGAGGGTTGAAGCCCCAGCACTGCTACATATTAATCTTGTGTCCCTGGACAAGTCAATTTTAACTTCCCTGTATCTCAATGTCTTCATCTATAAAATGGGGTAATAAAACCCACCCCACAGGTTTCTTGGAGGGACTGAATAAGTTAATACATGCCAAGGACTTAGAACAGTGCCTGGCACATAGTAAGTGCTCAGTAATTACTAGTTTAAGTATTAGTTCTTGTCCTTACTATGATGATGATAATCATTATTGATATCACCATCAAAGAAAGTGCTAGGTACTGGGGCTACAACAGTGAATAAGGTAGGTGCCTCCCTGCTACTGGAAGAATTCAAGCAGAGGAGTGATGGATGCTTAGGGTAGGAGATTAGCATAAATGCAGGTCCCTCAAGATCCCTGTAGGGGGAAACCAGCAAAGGAAATAGAGGAGCAGGAGCATGAAGGAAGTGTCACAGGAGTTTCAAACTTCTTCCTAGGGTCTCTACAATTCGAGGGAGGACTCGGTCAAGCCTGAGCAGGCTGCACTGATCCCCTTCTGACCTGACCACTCTTGCTGGCTCTTTACAGCACTGCGGCGACACATCCTCCCCAGCCCTGACGGCCCAGCTCCCAGGCACACTGGCCACGGGGAACCGAGGCTGCGCCAGGAAGAACCCTCAGCTCAGCCCATGAGCTTCTCCTCACATAGCTCCTTGAGAGCCGCCGGTCCTCAGGACCCCTGTGAGGAAGGTATGTCCCCACCTTGCAGAATTGGCAGAAGGCAGGGAGTCCTGGCGGGGAGCTGGGCAGTTGGACGTTGGCTGCTGCATATTCCCAGATAAGGGAATTGTCATTCCTGCGAGGTCGCGCCTCCTTCTGGGATGGTTCAGAGTACTTTGGGTCTTGGCAAGAGTGCCGGATAGAGAGCCTGGGTAGCCCGGGAGAGGAGGAGAAAAGAAGTAACACCTTTCTCCTTTGTCCTGGCTGGGTGTTGGCCCTTCCCTTGCAGATCCCAGTGATTTGGGCTTCTTGCACACCAGCAGTAGCTTCGAGTCCAAGGCAAAACCGGTCCAGCCTCAGCCCACTAGTGGAAAGAAGGTATTATCCAGAGTCGGCCACCCGGAACCCTGTAACATTCCCTCGGGCAGGTGGCAATCCCAGGGAACCATCCCTTGATGAGTCTTTGTATTCCTTCCCCAGGAACAAGATACATCAAAAACTCTTTCCCTGGAGGAGGCTGTGACTTCCATTCAGCAGCTCTTCCAGCTCAGCGTTTCCATCGCTTTCAACTTCCTGGGTAACTGAATGGATCCTGCCTCAAGGCAGGAGGGTGGAAAATTGGAAAGGGTATGGGTGGGTCAAATACAGTCAGAGTCGGGAGTGGTTTAAACAAGAGAGATTTTATTTTCTTCCAGGTAGGTAGACCAAATCTGGCATGGTGGCTCAGTGGTGTCAGAGACCCATTCTTATTCAAGTGTGTCCTGCCATTCTTAGACCTGCCTCCCACCTTGAGCTCCAGTTTGGCTGTTCCAGCTCCTGCCCTCATATCCATACTCGAGCCAGCTGGAAGGAAGAAGGTGGGGAGGCTAAAGGACCACTCCTTTAGTGACTTTAAGGACATGACCTAGAAGTTACACAGATCTTTGTCCTGAATGTAGGCTTGTGGCCACACCCAGTCATAGAGGAGGCTGAAAATGTCATCTTTGTCTGAATAACCATGTGCTTACCTGAAAATTCTGTTATTATGTAAGAAGGAGGAAATAAATCTTGGAGGATACCTGGCATTGGCTGCCACACGTAGGAAAGATCAGACTCCTGAAGTTTAGAGCAGGCCCTCGAGGGCGTGAATAGGAACTTCTTGCCGACATCTGGAGAGTCCAGATGCCCCTCCATCATTTATTCTGGTCTCCGTAGTGACCCGGCTCAAGTTTCAGGCCTTCTAATGTGGAGACTCAGACTCCGGGAAGCATCTTTTGGAGGCTAGTGGGCAGATGGGTGAAAGGCTGGGATTCATTCAGAACAAATCGATTGAGCATTTACCTTTTGCTAGGCCCTGTTTTAGGTGCTAGAGATACAGTGATTCACAAGACAAAGTTCTTACTCTCAGGGAGCTGACACATCAGTTGAAGGAGAGAAAAACAATACATTGGCAAACAAATAAAGATTTCAGGTGGTGATAAATGTTATGAAGAAAATAAAACAAGAGGATGTGTTAGTGACTTGGGCAAGGAGCACCTTTTGATTTGGAAGTCTTCACTGCAGGGAAGACCCTTGAGCTAAGACTTGACTGACAAAACAAGCCACTCTTGTTTCTATCCGGAGAAAGAGCTTTCCAAGTGGAATGAACAGCAGTGCAAAGGTCCTGTGGCAGGATTGAATTTGATTGTTAAAGGAAAAAAAGAAAGGTGAATGGAGCTGGAGCTTAGAGATCTCAGGAAGAGTGGAAGGAGATGAAACAAGAGAAGCAAGCAGGGGCCAATTCAGATGAGGCCTTCTGAGCCAACGTAAAGAGTGTGGATTTTCTAGGTGAGACAGGAAGGCATTGGAGGGTTTTAAGCAGGAACAGGAAGATGGGCAGTAACATGATCTGATTTACTTTTCCAGAGATCTCTGTCTGTTGTATAGACACACGTGGATTGTAGGGATGCCAGAGGGGAAACAGGAGACCAGGTAGTAGGAGAGATATTACCGAGAGCTAAGCAAAACAGGATGGTGGTGTGGTCTAGGCTAGAGGAAGAGGAGACCGAGAAGAAGAGCTGGGTTAGGGTATATCAATGGAGCCAGGTGGGGAATGGGGACAGGGTGGGATCCTTGGCCCTCTTTACTGTTCTCTTCAAGGACAGAGGGCTCTGTCAATCCTGGACAGTAAGTTGTCAGGCAGCAGGGAGGCAGCGTTATGTAATTCCCTGGTGGCTGAATGGAACCTGGCTTCTACTTCATTAGCTTTTTGTGATTTTGATGGGCTGACAGTCTCTTCTCAGAATTTTCTTACCCTTTCCTTCATTCATATATTCATTTATTCAGCAAGTGCTAAGCACGGTGGCAGACCACAAAGGGAGCATAAGCTGTAATCACATTTTGCATTTGTATAGAGCTTTCATCCCATGCAAAGTTATTTCTTCTATATTCTTTTTCTGTTTCTGCTCCAGGATTTTGCAGTCTAATCGAGGAGACAGGACTTGTACTCTTGAAACAATTTAGTTCATAGAAAAAGGCTTGGTCTATTAAGTAAGTGCCAAAAAAGTAAAGCCTGAGTGTGGTCTGCAGTTTCTAGAGCAGAAACAGGATGGGAGGCCTGATGGCGGAGGCAGAAAGAGAGATCCCAGGCAGGAGAGGCAGTTTGAGCAAAGGCTTAGAGTTGAGAGTTGGCTGTGCCCTGCTCCTTTCCTGTTTCCTTCCTGTTTGGACAATGAAAAGAGCTTGGGCTTTGGAGTTGGACATACCTGTGTTCAGATCTCGGCTGTCTGTTATCACTGCTCCCAGTTTCCTCATAAAGCAGAATTAGCAGTATCACTTGCATCAGTTAGGGTTTGCTGGTTACAGGCAACCTAATTGCACTCTGGCTAACTTAAGCACAAAAGGAATCTACTGGGATTTATTGACCTGCTGAGCCTCTCTGAAAGGACAGGAATCAGGGAAGCTCCGGAGACCCAGTGGGTAACACGTGACAGCAGTATCTTCAGACTGTTGCTATCAGAATAAACCTACAAGAACTGTTTTCTCTCCTGTCCCAACAAGATCAAGATTCAGATTCCTGAGAGTCTCCTTGGTTGGGAAGAGTACGGGCCCATTGATTGACAGCACTGCGGGAGGGGTTGTTCCCTAAGGCAAATCGGGAAGCTGTTACCAAGAGGTGGAGGAATGTTTATAGGAGGGCAGAACCCACTAACGTAGATGGCAAACCAGTGAAATATTCAGAGGATAGGAATATATGCAAAGTGTCTAGCACAAAAAAGGAAGGAAGGGTTGGGTGAGGTGGCTCATGCCTGTAATCCTAGCACTCTGGGAGGCCAAGGCGGGAAGATTGCTGGAGGTCAGGAGTTCCAGACCAGCCTGAGCAAGAGCAAGACCCCATGTCTACTAAAAATAGAAAAAACTAGCCGGGTGTGGTGGTACGCACCTGTAGTCCCAGCTACTTGGGAGGCTGAGGCAGGAGGATCGCTTGAGCCCAAGAGTTTGAGGTTGCTGTGAGCTAGGCTGACACCACAGCACTCTAGCCCAGGTGACAGAGCAAGACTCTGTCTCAAAAAAAGGAAGGAAGGAGTCTGGGATCAGATGATGAGCCTATAGGTGTCTGGCTGAGCATGTGGGGAAGTTCACAGAGAAAGCTGTGTTTGTGCCCTGCGCTTTCTTACAGGGACAGAAAACATGAGGAATGGGGACTACACGGCAGGCTTTTCTTACTTCCAGAAAGCTGCAGACCGGGGCTACAGCAAAGCACAGTACAACACGGGTTTGTGTCATGAGCATGGCAGAGGCACCCCCAGGGACATTAGCAAGGTACTGCACCTCCTCCCCTGGCCCCCCGGCCTGTCCCCTGTGCCAGGCTGCCCAGAGTGATCTCTAGAAATGAGTAGTGGGCAGGGATGGGGGAAAGTTCAGCTTCTGTCCCCCACTTGGTTCCAGCCCAGCTTCGAGGGAAAAATGAGGAAGAAACTCTAGCTTCTGGGAATTTAGACTGAAAACTCAGGGAGGGCAGGGATTTTGCCTTTCTTCTTTGCAGTTGTATCCTCAGAGGCTAGAACAGCACTATGGTGAATGGATTAATTCATTTTTTAAAAGCAGGATAAGTACACAAAGAGGTTATATATAAGAATGTATTTCTTAGAGTTGTATGTGAAGGCAAAAAAGGGAAAGCAACTTAAAGTTCCTTCAGTAGAAAACCGGTTATGGTTGGGCACAGTGGCTCACACCTTTAATCCCAGCACTTTGGGAGGCTGAGGTGGGAGGATCACTTAAGGCCAGGAGTTCAAGACTAGCCTGGACAACATAGGGAGACCCATCTCTACAAAAAAATAAAAAAGTTAGCGGGGCATGGTAATGAACCCCTGTAGTCCCAGCTACTTGGGAGGCTAAGGCAGGAGGATTGCTTGAGCCCAGGAGTTTGAGGTTACAGTGGGCTATGATTGGGTCACTGCATACCAGCCTAGGTGAGACCCTATGTCTAAAAAAAGGAGAATTGGTTAATTACATCTGTATTTGTATTTGAGCCTTAAAAATGATATGCTAGATCTATATTTATTGGCAAGCAAAGTCATTCATAGTGTATTGCTAAGTAAAAAAATAGATTGCAAAATAGTGTAGTACGATCCAGTTCCCTCTATATATACATACACTTAAATATGTGTGTGAATGCATATATATAATGTATATGTGTGTGTATATAACACATATATATGTGGGAAGAAATTTGCAAAGCTGTATACTAAAATTTTAACAGAGAATGATCCTTAGGAGACAAGATTTCTTGGGATTTTATGTTTCTATTTTTGTTTTATATTTTTAAATTTTGGCTTATCTGAATTTTCTGACTAATCTGTAATGCTTATGTATTATTTAATTAAAATAATTTTTTCAAATTTCACGCAAAGAAGAAAGTGCTTACAGAGTTACCAGCTGACAGGGTGTCTCTCCCTCTGCCCCAGGCGGTCCTTTATTACCAGTTGGCTGCCAGCCAGGGCCACGGGCTGGCTCAGTACCGCTGTGCCAGGTGCCTGCTGCGAGACCCAGCCTCCTCGTGGGGCCCTGAGCAGCAGAGGGCAGTGTCCATGCTGAGGCAGGCCGCAGACTCGGGCTTGACAGAGGTGAGTGCCATTGGCAGGGTCCGTCTGAGGTCCTGGGGCACGTAGAGCCTGAAAGTGACCCAGATGCTTTTTTCCTTCCTCCCTGACCATAGGCCCAGGCTTTCCTCGGAGTGCTTTTCACCAAGGAGCCGTGCCTGGACGAGCAGAGAGCTGTGAAGTATCTTTGGCTTGCAGCCAGCAATGGGGTATGAGCTCTCTGGTATCCACACACGTTGGGGACTGAGTCTAATAAGGGATTTGGGAAGTGGTACTGAGTTCTGTGCTTAGAAGATCGTTTGATAGGAGCGTTGGGCTGGCTTCCGGCCTTAGCTCTTGCTGACCTACTGGGTACTCTTGGGCAGGCCCAGTGGTGTGCTGCAGCTGCCTTGCACCTGGCTGTGAGAGCCCTTGGTAGCTCGGAATCCTCTGTGGCGGGAGTATTTGCACCAGAGAATGGCTAAACGCTACAAAGCAGGGCTTTTGCCCTCTTGGAGAGCTGGGTGTTCAACATTCACCAGCACACTGCTGGGCCCAGTCATTTCTTCATTCAAACCTGTTTCCTTGCCTTTAAAGTCGGCATAATAATGCCTTCCTTACCTGTCCACTGCTTCACAGCGCTGTTGTGAGGATGAAAATCTAGGTAGATAACAGGTGTGAGAGCACTCTGTAAGCTGTACACTTGAAAAGTGCATCGTTATGAGTGGCGGAAGCCCGGGGAAGTCAGAAGACACGCAAGGTGGAGACACTGAGCAGTTTGGGCAGTGGGGGTGTCTCATCCATGAACTGGGGGCGTTGGCATTCAGGCAGTACGACCCAGAGTTCGTTCCGTGGAGCGTTAGTTCCATGGGACATTTATAAATAATATGAAGGAAAAAAATGGTTAATTGGATTTGGGAAATACTGAGTTAAACAGTTATCTTTAATGCAGGAAATCTCAAAGCTTTATGTCACTGCGAAGGCAATCTGTGGTTTGCTGTATTCTGCAAGTGTTTTTGACCAGCATATTTTTGTGTGTGTGTGTGTGTGTGTGTGTGTGTGTGTGTGTGTGTGTGTAAAGGTTTATTGTGCGCGGGGACAGGAGGGGAGAGGGGCTCAGTCCTTCTTGGCGGCGGCTTTCCTCATGGCGGCCAGGACGTTGCTCAGCTCCTCCCGCTTCCTCTTAGCGCGGTGACCAGCATATTTTTGAGTTGCATCTTGAAGGACCCGGAGTCCTAGATTAAAGCAAGCAATATGCATGTACTGTAGTTTCCCTACGTGGGTAACTACTGCTTCCTTTGCTTTTCGGCCAAACTGATAGCTTCATTGCACTCTTGGGCATGAGAATACTTTTCCTTGGCCACTGTGTTTTGCCCAAAATATCTGTAGTAGCTATCAAATGGGGACCGAAGTCCCCAATCAGTACTGGCCTCTGTGCCCGCCTTTCCTTGAAACAGCCCCGCAGAGCTTCCTCAGGCTGGGCGGTCCTGTGTGTCTCTCTGCTGGGCAAGCCCGGGGGCACCCTGGCCCACTTTAATCAGACCGGCATGCTAAGAGGGGAGTGCACAAAGAGATGTCTGTCCCCTGTTATGTGGCACTGTGTTGGGACACAGACCTCACACTTACCTACCCCACAGGGAATAGCGTCTTCCTGGGTTTGCACCGAGCAGCAGCGTTGCAGGGTTGGGTGTGTCGCTGCAGGGTTGAGTGTGTCGTAACCTGGCCCTTAGTCTGTAGCTGTGAGCCCATCATATTTATCGGAGAGACCTTGGCCTGCCTGTTACAGAAGTGAGGGCTCAGCGTCTCCAGAAATTTGACTGTGAGGGGTAGAAAAGAAATGAGACCATGGTTGGGAGTCAACCGTGTTTGGTTTTTTTAAGTTGAGAGAGTGGCTGTGATGAAAATGTTTCTGTAGAGGGGGAGAGATTAGCGATGGGGGCGACTAAAGGGGACGATAATAACAGCACTCTTCTAGGCACTTTTTATATGGTCACACATTTAATCCTTACAACAACCTAATACGGTAGGTGCTGTTATTATCCCCAGTTTATAGGCCAGGAAACTGAGGCACTGAGCTGTAGAGTAACATGCCTGAGGTCACACGCTGGTAAGTGGCAGAGCTGTGATTGGAACCCAGACAGTCTGGCCGAACGGCTGGGCGCCCAGCCCCTGCCGGATCCTGCCTCTCAGAAGAGCGTAGTTCTCAGCGAGAGGAGAGGACCCAGAGCCGTGGGCAGAGGGCTTAGCCTTTTGAAGGACGAGAAACATTCTCCATGATTTATACTTGGCAGCCCTCTCAGGCAGAGCTTCAGGAAGGCGTGCAGGGCCCTGGGGAAGCCGACCCTCCACCCTCCCTCCGTGCTCTGCTGTAGGAGCCTGCCTCCCAGGAGTCCCCTGGCGGGCTGTTTCCTGTAGCCTTCCCTTCTGCACGCTTTCAGCCAGCCTCAGCGAGAGAACCTTCTATACTGTAGCTGGAAATCTCCCTGGGTGGAGGGATCCCGTCTCCTCTGTGCCGGGCAAGCTCTGCACCTCTGGCAGTTCAGCACTGGGATCCCTTGGGGTGGGGGGCCGGGGCTGGGTCTCGACCCTGCACGGCTAAGCCCTAGCGTGCCTGACGTCGCCTTCCCCCTGCCTCCGCGTTTCAGTTCTTCAGTTCTTCATGTGTGTATCTGTTTGTCATTTTCTTCTCCTTTAGGACTCCCAGAGCAGGTACCACTTGGGAATTTGCTACGAGAAAGGCCTCGGTGTGCAGAGGAATCTGAGAGAGGCCCTGCGGTGTTACCAGCAGGCGGCAGCTCTGGGAAATGAGCCCGCCCAGGAGAGGGTTCGGGCTCTCTTTTCCACGGAGGCCGCAGGTACAGATGCAAGTCAGAGCCAGCAGGGTCCCTCCCCTAAGTTCAGTACCCTGTGACAGGGAAGGGGGTGGCAGTAAGCCCCTGGTCTCCTTGTCATTTCTGACCCTACTGGTGGTGAAGAGCACAGCTTTTGGAGTCAGAGAAACCCGAGTTTTAACTCCAGCTGTCAACTGAACTTGGACTCATGGCTTTGAGCCTCAGTTTCTTTACCTCTATAAATAAGGGTAACCTAACTCACTAGGTTGTTGTGAGGGTTAAATGAGATGCTGCAAAGGGCTTAGCACAGCCTGACACGCAGTAGATATTGAATAAATGGTGGCAGCTCTGAGGATTTTTTTAGGAGAGATAATGTCCTGCGGCTGTCTGAATTCCCCTGCTAGGGCTCTGAGAGCCACTGGGGTTGGGCTGGGTTCACAAGGCCAGAGGGCACCAGGCCCTTTAAGGAGTCCTTGCTCCACAGTAGAAGTTCAAGCATATAGCATGAGTTAAGAGTTGCTCTTGCCTCTTCTTGTAGCCCCGGGGTCCAGCGACCTGGCAGCTAAAGGACTGAAGTCTTTCTCCAGCCCCTCCCTCTGCAGCCTGAATACCCTGCTGTCAGGAACCTCCCGCCTCCCGCACGCCTCAAGCACAGGGAACCTTGGCCTCCTCTGCAGAAGTGGGCATCTCAGCGCCAGCCCCGGAGTCCCCATCAGGGCTTTGCCCACACACCCCTACCCCTTGGAAAGGAGTCTCGTAAGACTGGGTTTTGGCTAAGGTGAGATAAAACACAGTTAGTGGTGCCTCTTGGGAACCTGGGGGGCCATGAGGTTGGATGACAAAAACGGAGTGTCAGTTTCCACCCTTTCTAGGGTGGAAATTCCAGTGGGAGCTCGGGTGCCCGAGCAGTTTCAAGTGTGTAGCTAATAAACGACTTTGACCTTTTCCCCGACTCGGTAGCCTCGCAGATGAGCCTCAGATGCCTTCATGGTCATTTCTGATCTGGGCACCAAAAGGATTCATCCGATGACCTGAGAAAAACTCTACGGAGGAGTCTAGAGACACTCGTCCTCACCTTAGCCTTTGTCTTTGAGCAAATCCTTTACCTTCGCCCTCCCTGTGCCTCGGTTTCCTCACACTGAAGCTATACCATTGTTTGCCAGTGTCTGATGTGTATACCTGTCTGATGGTTCACAAGAGGATTTTAGGTGGTATTCAAATTAATATTTTTTATTGTAATAGTTA